GAGAGAGAGAGAGAGAGAGAGAGAGAGAGAGAGAGAGAGAGAGAGAGAGAGAGAGAGAGAGAGAGCGGACTATGAGATCGGTAGATGGTACTGATGTAGACCCCGAAAATCTCATTGATATTTCGATGTGTGCGGGCGTAGCCGCCCAGGCCTTTCTTGTTCTATTTTTTTAAATGCGATTACTTTGTGATCCTTGTTCACATTCTGGACGCGGGTGAACTGATCGTCTTTGTGAACCTCGTTTTTGCGTCTCTGTCGGATCTGCTTTGATTGTTTTCGGTTTGTTTTTGTGGGCTGCCAAATGCCAGCCAGTGGATGAGGTCCTGATATTTCATTTTGTCTGACGTGTGGTGGAAGAGGCCGGCTTTGCCATCTTCTGGTTCTTGGGTGGTGAAAAAAAAAATTAAGGGGCGCGGGCAGGTGCTGCTCGTTGGTTAGCCGACATGGCGCGGGTGCGCAGGGTTGTGAAGAAGAAGAAAACGAAGAAGAAGAAGAAGGCGGCAGTGTCTGTGTCCAACGATGTAGCGATGGGTGAAGGCTCCGCGGGCAGGAGCGGTGCACAAAAAGAGTCCGGAAGCCGGCCGTCTGTGTGGCGGCCAGGAGTTGATGAGATCGGCGATGAGGAGGAACTGCAGTACGATCCGACGGCTTATGAGTGCTTGCACTGGTTCAGTCTGGAATGGCCCAGTCTCAGCTTCGACATCATGCGAGATAACCTTGGTGCACAGCGGATGGAGTTCCCTCACACACTGTACTTCGTTGCTGGGACGCAAGCGCTGATGGCCAAATCGAACGGTTTGGTGATCGTGAAGCTTTCGAATCTGACGAAGATGAAGCACCCGAAGCTGCAGAACGAGGGAGACGATGGCAATGATGATGGTGACGATGACGATAGTGGCGACAGCAGCAGCAGCAGTGAAGAAGACGAGGAAGAAGAGGACAAAGAAGTTGAAGCCATGAGGAACAGCAAAACACAGCCCTTCGAGAAATCTGTCAATGCCGATCTAGCAAACAAGAAGAAACCCGGGCTCCGAACTCGTAGAGTGGCTCATCACGGAGGCGTGAACAGAGTGCGAAGCATGATGCAACATCCGGGGATCGTCGCATCCTGGGCAGAAACTGGACACGTGCAAGTTTGGGATTTGAGCACTCATCTGAATGCGTTGGCAGAGGTGGACCAATCAGGCATGTCCACGTCTGGAGCTGCTGCAAAAGAGGGGGCTGCATTCCTACCCCCTCTGCAAGTGTTCACTGGTCATGCAGAGGAAGGATTTGCCCTCGACTGGAGTCCCGTGACAGCAGGCAGGTTAGTCAGCGGAGATAACAAGAAGGGAATTCATCTCTGGGAGCCATCGGTTGGCGGCAAATGGACGATTGAACGATCTCCGTACAGAGGTCACGTGGGGAGTGTTGAGGACCTGCAGTGGAGCCCAACGGAAGCGGATGTGTTTGCCAGCTGCTCTGCCGATCAGACGATGCGGATCTGGGACACCAGAAGTCGCGACGCCTCTGCACTCACTGTCAAGGCACATGCTGCTGACATCAACGTCATTTCCTGGAACCGTCTGGCCAGCTGCATGCTCGCATCGGGATGCGACGATGGGTCTTTCAGAATATGGGATTTGAGAAACTTCAAGGAGGATTCCTTCGTGGCGCATTTTAACTACCATTCGGGCCCCATCACCTCCATCGAGTGGAGCTGCGAGGACAGTTCAATGATTGCGTGCACGAGCGCGGACAATGTGTTGACGATCTGGGATCTCTCTTTGGAAAGAGATCCTGAAGAAGAGGAGGAGTTTACGCGCGGCGACACCTCGTTGGCCGCTCCACCAGAGGACTTGCCCTCACAATTGCTCTTTGTCCATCAGGGACAGAAGGATCTCAAAGAAGTGCATTGGCATCCCCAGATTCCTGGCTTGCTGATAAGCACTGCTTCAGATGGATTCAATGTGTTCAAGCCATCCAATTTAGCAAATGTTTGACTTCATACACCATTGATATGGGGGTGGGGGGCGGCAGAGGGGGAGGTGGGGTACGGCTCCAGGAAGGGAGAAGAGGCAGGAAGAGTTGGGGAAATCTTCCCTATATTTTGTCGATGATACAGAAATAGGAGGAGGAGGAGGAGGAGGAGGGGGAGAAGGAGAAACCATCGCCAAGGTTGGTTTTGGTTCTTGTTCGTTGCTGCAATCCCTTTCACTTGTTCCCAGAATCACGGAATCTTAAAGTGTGTGAGCCTGATTGTTGGATAGGTAGGGATATGCCACTCTGTGTTGTTTGTCTGAAGCGCAGCAAATCATCACTAATGAGTGGTAATGACAGAAAAAAATGCATGAGCAGAAAACACTTTGACATGAGAAAACTGAAAAGAAATTACTAGAAACTTAGTTGAAAGAGACACACAGGCTTTTGTTTGGGTGGCAAGAAACTCCACCAAGTACAGGTAGCCCGCCGTAGAAACAGATCACACGCTTTTGTTTGGATGGGAAGAAACCCCACCAAGTACAGGTCGCACGCGATAGAAACAGATTGACCTCGAGAGCTCCAGGCCGACATCCGTTTTCTTCTGCCCATACATGCATGACCTGTCCCATGGATCCCAAACAATGGGACAAAACGAACGTCTTTGTGTTTCTTTTTAACTTCAGCTTTTTCTGCATAGTGTGTGTTGATCGCACTGTCATTCCATGTCCTGTGCAAGACATCTATGTGAGGTTTTCTTGGTCGGATTGATCCGACTCTCACAAACTATCAACGAAGAAGCAGCAGTGAAAGTACGCAAGGCAGTAAACAGTGCAAAGAGCTGGTTGTTAGCATCTTCAATCTGTCTGCTACGGTGCGCAGAACGTCAGTCTGACCATTGTCTGCAGAAACGCCAGAAACGGCATTGCAGCAACTCGATGCACTGAAAACCGCCACTACCTCCTCAGGAATCCGTCCGACCGCTGCAGACCTGTGGCTGTTGGTCTGACAGTCCCACAAACCGGCTGAGTGCAGAACTCCTGGTAAAGATGGGACAGTCGTGAAAGGCGACGGTGGTTTTGAATCACCACCACTGTCCCCGACCTACACGTCCCATGGGTTGCGCTGGTTTTACACAGGGCCAATGGTAGATCTGTGGCTGTCGGTCTGGCGATCCCACAAACCAGCGTGTGCAGGACTCCTGGTAAAGAGGGGGCAGTTGTGAAAGGTGATGGTGGTTTTGAATCATCACCGCTGTCCCCTACCTACGTATTCCATGGGCTGCGCTGGTACTACACACTGCTAATGTTGCGGTCTGGGACTGTGGAGGCTGCCTACCAGGGGGTGGCCACTGCCAACCTCTGCCGTGGAGGCTTGAAACTGATCAAGATTGGGCAAACCCAATTTGACTGAACGGATCTGCGAGCAGTATGTACGAGGATGGAAATGTGTCTTCACAAATTGGAGACCGTGTTTTCCCCTCACGAGGTCAGCCGCACTGGTAAGTTGCTCATCCGTCACCCATGCGGAAGATCAGCAAGGCATTGAGATGGTTTAGCTACGGAAAGGGTGAAAAATGAAAAAGAACTGAAGGGATAGGAAGTCGGAGAATTCTATCGAGGTGGGCCCAAGGAAGTCTACTGAACTACTGAATAAATTTTCCTGCAATGAGCGTGGAAATACGTACAGCTGAATGTGAATGGCAGTTCATATGCTTGCACGGAGGGGGGCCTTGGGCCCAGATGTACGGATCTATAACCACTGTGGAGGCTCCCGTAGCCCCCTGTGTGTGAGCGGGCTACTGTGGAGGCTCCCTTACGCCTGTGTGTGTGAGCGGTCTACTGTGGAGGCTCCAGTAGTGCTGTGTGTGTGAGCGGGCTAGGTACCAGTGGGGGTCACGTGCTGATTGTAGCGAAGTGTGCAAGAATTGCCGTGTCATTGTGGTCCATCCGCGTGGTATTGTGTGTGGTGTGTAACGAGTTGGACACTACAGCCTTGCAGGGGTGGGGTATATATATAGTGAAACAGAGCTGCCCGGTAAACCGTAGGTTATGTGCATGTATATCTTTATATATATATTGTCAAACAGAGCTGCCAGGTAAACCGTAGGCAGAGATGGAGAAGAGGACAACAATGGAGGGGCTGTGACAAAATGTTTCTTTGGAGTTTCACCGACTCATCAGGAGGCTGAACCCTCAACAGTCTGCAGAATCCCTTAACTGATTAAACTGTAAGTGATAATCTACCTCAACCCCAGCTGAATTGGCGTGTCAGTGTGGTCCATCCGTGTGGTATTGTGTGTGGTGTGTAACGTATTGAACACGACAGCCTTGCAGGGGCGGGGTGGATATATATATGTATATGCATGGTAGCCAGCGTTCGGCCGGGGCGGAATGGCCGAACCCGAACGCCCGAATGTTGGGCCCCCCTGTGCATTCAACCATTCGGTCCGAACCCGAACCAAAAAAATAAAAAATAAAAAAATAAAATAAAAATCCCAGCCCACCAGCCTGGCCACCCGGGTCCTGGGGTCTGGTCCCACCTACAGCGTTGAGTTTTCTCAACGATGAGCTTTCTATCACGTGTGGCATGATGGGACGGAGCTCTGCTGTTGTGATATATTGCGATCTAATGGTACCGAAATACAGGAGAATGACCTATTAGATCTTGTCTTTTTGTAGAATTCTTCTTTGACGTGAAATCTGTTTTGTAGTATGCTTTGCCCTTTTTGGTTTGGGCGGGAAACCATTTTCCGTTGAGAAAACTACCCTACTGAGGGTAGGGTACATTTCTCAACCGCAGTGCCTTTCCTTTTTTTTGGTTTTTTAGGCATCATTACATCCTGAAACGGAGGAACTCTGACAGCTGCGTTTGGCTCTCTGGCATGAAGCTCTTTTCCTTCTTTGGGCAATGAATGCATTTGGCCATCCACCTTGTCCCTGTCCATTTTACAAATGGCGACCTCCTGTCCGTCCCCTCACCAGGGGGAGTATCCCTTCTTCACGGAGACATTCACTCCGACTGTTCCAGACATGTGTCATTTCTCCGAGTTACGTTATCAAAAATAAGGAGAAAAGCTGTTTCTAGCGTTTTGTCTCAGTTTTTTAATTTCTTGTTTCAAATTATTAATGTTGAAATGGCGTCACACCGTTAAGTTTTCTAAACTCAACAACGGTAGGTGGGACCAGACCCCTGGGTGGCCAGCCCGTGCAAGGACCAGGGAAGGTCCCAGCAAAAAAAAAAAAAAAAAACAACAACAATTCCAAAAAATCCGAAGAAAAACTAATTTATCCAGAAAACTAAACTGAACAACTTCTGCCTCAGGGTTACATCGACATTCTTCACCAAATTCAGAATAATAAAATAAAATTTAAAAATATATATTTTTAAATTTATTTTATAATATTATTATTATTTTTTTTAAATGTTTTTGGCCTGGCCGGGCAAGTGACCCCGGGCTACTCCAGTAGCCTAGAAAAAATCTGAACAAAATATATATGTTATGCTGCTTATGCAGAAAACTAAACTGAACAACATTTGCCTCAGCGTGACATCCAAATTCTTTGGTAAGGCACAGAAGTTGCATTCAGGAGGCCATGGGTTCAATCCCCATTGACCTCACGTACGTGCCTGGGCAAGCTTGGTGTTCTACCAGCTAGAGATAACCCGTTGGCCCCCCAAGCCAGCGTTGGCAGGACCTTGGCTGATGTTGTTGGCTGCTATGCAGCGACAATATTGGCCATTAGACACAGCCATGTGGGGTTGGGGGGGGGGGGGGTAGGGGGAGGTGCAGTGACTGGCCATTGCTCGGCGCTAGCGCCGCTGATTTCCCCCATCGGCAGTGCCTGCCCACCCCTCGTCACTGTGATGAGGGACTGGTACAGCCTTGCTCTCGCACCACAGCTGTGGTGCAAACCTATCCCATGGGCTGGGGAGAGATCCGGGTTGGTTGGTATTCCCCCGTACTATAAATAGACTAGTGAGAGAATGAGATAGCTGCGTACTACCATAGAAATGTGAAATAGATTGAGAGAAGAATATAGATTACTTAAAAAAAAAAAAAAAAAAAAATCTTTACCGAACTTGAAATAGAAATATAATACGGAAAACTAGTAATAATAATAAGCGTAGAGTACACGTACGGGGCCTTTCTGTACGAAATGTACAGGTAATATCTGTACGGGATCTGTACGGGAAGTGTACGTCTTGTATGCCCCCGTAAGTCATCAAAAAAATCTGAAAAAAACTATGTGATGCAGCAGCACAAAACAAGCAACATTTGGCTGAGCACTATCTCCAGATTCTGATTAGAATTGGAGAAACAAAATAAAAACAATACCATATTAAAATAAAATAAAAACTCGTACGGGCCCCCTAGCGTACGAGTACAGGAGTATGAATCCGTACTCGTACGAGGGTGCGTACAAGTCGCAACGAAGAGAATTAAAACAGTGCAAGGGTGGGCATGCTTTTTTTTTTTTTTTCCCCCTTTTTTTATGCGGCCAGAGTGTTGTATGATCCAGGCGCTCCAGCCTGGTTCATACGACGGCCACTTTTTTGAATTGTAAAAGCCGGAAAACGGGTCCGGCGTCCCTCACATCATAGAAAAGGTTATCCCAATGTAAACAGCCCCTACCCTACAATCCATTACAGGTCTACACAACAATTTCGACAAAATGACAAAAATCCTAATTGTGTACAATGCGGATGACCTAAAAAGGAAACAGCGAAATCAAACCCTACGAAAACAAAGCCTATCACCCTTAGATACACCCAACCCTGCAAATCCACCCTGCCACCCGCGCGGCAGGGATCTGTGACCACAGACCCCGCAAACCCACCCACCTCCTCGCGATTCAAAGCAGATCGCTCCACCCCCCACGTTAACTGCCCAACAACACCAACGCCCTCCATGATGGTGTATCAGCAAACACGTTTTAAACACCACCATCATTGGTGATTTTTCATTGTTTTTTTGGCTTAGTCAAATGCCCTGGCATTCAGTAGATGTGTATCTCAGGAGATATAAAACTCATTAGATTGGACAGGCAATTGAATTGGTTGCGCATAAAGAATTAGCCTTAAAATATATATCTTTTAAAAAAGGACTCTTTATTTTTTTCACAAGAAATAACAAATTGTCTAGGCCCCGAGATGTTCTGACACCGCCATCTTTTGAGATTTTTCATTAGTTTTGGGCTTAGCAAAATGCCTTCAAAATTTATAAGCATGTACCTCACATCATAAAGAACTCACAAATTTTTTTATTTTTTTTTAATAATTTGAGGCTCCGAAATCATTTTTGGCGGGGGCTGAACCCCTTCAGGTCGGACTCCGAACGGACCCCGGACGCCCGAACATACGGTGGTCAGCCCGGGGCCCTCCCTATGTACGTGCTGGTAACCATGTATATATTCGGTGAAACTCCGACGAAACAGTTTGTCACAGCCCCTCGTTTGTTGTCCTCTTCTCCCTCTCTGCCTACGGTTTACCGTTGGCAGTTCTATTTGTGACGATATATATATATATATATGATGAGTCGGTGAAACTCCGACGAAACAGTTTGTCACAGCCCCTCGTTTGTTGTCCTCTTCTCCCTCTCTGCCTACGGTTGACCGGGCAGTTCTATTTGACGATATATATATGATATATACGATATATATATATATATATATATATATATATATATATATATATATATATATATATATATATCAATGACTGAGTACCTTTGGCCCCCACTGGGAGACTGCTACCATCCACAACACACCCCTTTTTTAAAAGTTCGGAGGGAAAATGCTTCTTCAGTCCCAGAAGGGACCGCCAGATATGACCCTCTCTGT